TATATATATATATATATATATATATATATATATATATATATATATATATATATATATATATATATATATATATATATATATATATATATATATATATATATATATATATATATATATATATATATATATATATATATATATATATATATATATATATATATATATATATATATATATATATATATATATATATCTCTCTCTCTCTCTCTCTCTCTCTCTATCTATATATAATATATATATATATATATATATATATATATATATATATATATATATATATATATATATAAAAATATATATATATATATATATATATATATATATATATATATATATATATATATATATATATATATATATATATATATATATATATATATTTATTTAGTTATATATTATATTTAGATATATATTATATTTAGATATTTATTTATGTTTATATTTGTATTTATTTATATTTAGTTTTTATTTTTAGATATTTAGATATTTAGTATATATTATATTTAGATATTTATTTATATTTATTTATATTTATTTATTTATATTTAGATATTTATTTATATTAATGAATTTTTATATATTTATTTGTATATATTTGTTTATTTATTTTTTATATTTGGATAATTATTTATATTTATTCATATTTAGATATTTATTTTTATATATTTAGCTATTATATTTAGATATGTATTTAATTATGTATTTATTGTATATTTTAATTTATTGTATATAATTATTTATGTATATTTATATATTTATTTATTTAGTTATATATGTATTTATATTCAGATATTTATTTATATTTTTTTATTCATATTTTTACATATACCTTTATTTTTTTTATATAAAACAACACATACTTTTTAAAATGAAGTATACATACCGGTCAATGTTTACTTAAAATGGCTGAAATGTAACAAAATAATAAAGGGTCTAAAATCCAAAGAAAAAAATGCATAAGTCATCAAATTCCTTTAAATTCTCACTTATGATGTTCAAAAGTGTACACATTTATCTGTATTTTGTTTTTCTTCTTGCTGTTTAGAGGCTGAAGGTACTGTTTCTGGAGAAGGAGCATCTCTGGGAATCAATAGTGAGTAGCACAACATTTCTGAGAAGGTTTTTTGTAGTTTGCTCATTTTTCCTAAATAAAGCAGGAATAATTAGTGAAGGGGAACATGGAAATATCTAAATGGTTATATTTATAAGTCTTTGTTTTTGATTGCAGGCGCTTTCCGTTATACATGTGACGTTTGTGGGAAGAAATACAAGTATTACAGCTGCTTTCAGGAGCACCGAGACCTCCATGCCGTTGATGGTGAGCAGTGGATTTCCCAATTTTTTATGAGTATTTGGAATGGAACGGCACACTTGACTACAAGATTAAGATTTATTCTGGTGCAAAGAATAACTTTAACTGAGTTTTCATTTATTCTTTATTTCTGTTTTTCATGTCTGTGTGTGTGTGTGTCATCCAGATCCATATGACCATGTGATTCCTGTTGAAGACCTGAAAGAGGAAGCCGAATCCTTCCAGAAAATGGGACCAAGTAAGAGTCCCTTAATTCTGATATTCCTGGGTTTTCCCTTTGATGCAGCGTCAGGGTCTGACAAGTCTGAACACTTTCTGACTGATCTGAAGGAGATCGTCTGCTTTCTGAATATAACCTTCATTGAAGGAGGGAGATTTATGAGTGTATGAGCTTCTCCTTAAGCTGCTGGAAATACACCGAGCGCCGCTAATATATAAACATCTCAGAATCTATCGGAATCATCACTCCCAGATGGACACAATTTAAACGTTGCCCTAATGTTGCCATATGGTTCTCGTTTGGTTCTTTTTTGGAACCCAAAGTAGTACACTCTAAGAATGTTCTCTGTTCTTGGTTCTTTTTTCATTTATTTGGTAAACAAGAACGAAGCGTACCAAAATATTGTAGGTTAAATGCATAACAGGGCTGGTCCAGATGTAAGATTATGTTAGCGTATGATTTATTTGTTTTTGAAAAAAAAGAAATTTAATTTAGACTAACACAGTGTTTCTAAAATAAAAGAAAAAAGTGTTCTTGTCCATTTAAAATAAAAATCAATGAAAATAGTTTTATTCTATCATAATTTTTACTGGGTATAAATAAACGTTTGTGTACATAACAACAACAACAACAACAACAATAATAATAATAATAATAATAATAATAATAATAATAATAGTAATAATATTGTTATTATTATTATTATTATTAATATTAATATTATTATTATTATTATTATTATATTATTATCATCATCATCATCAATTATGGTTATTATTATTATTATTATAATTATTATTATCATCATCAATATCATCATCATCATCATCAGGGATATTATTTTTATTATTAATTATTATCATCAATTAACATAATAATAATAATAATAATTATTATTATTATTATGAATATTATTATTATCATCATCAATTATATTATTATTATTTTTTTATGATCAATTATTATAATCAGTTATTATCATCAATTATTATTATTATTATTATTATTATGAATATTATTATGAATATTATTTTTATTATCATCATTATCTTTAGTGATATTATTATTATTATTAATATCATCATCATCATCATTTGTGATATTATTATTATTATAAATTATTATTATAAATTATTATCATCATCAATTATTATTATTATTATTATCATAATTATTATTATTATTATTATTATTATTATTATTATCAGTTATTATCATCAATTATTATTATTATCATCATCATCATCATTGGTAATATTATTATTATTATTATTATTATTATTAATAACTATCATCAGTTGTTATCATCAATAATTTTATTATTATTATTATTATCATCATCATTATTGGTGATATTATTATTATTATTATTATTATTATTATTATTATTATTATTATTATTATTATTATTATTATTATTATTATAAGAATGATGCTCGTAGAATTTTACGATTTCATTCAGGACTAGAAATTATTCTTATAATTTTTGTATAGATCCAGCTTTCTAATAATGTGGTAATGCTGTTTATTAAAAGTAAACCAAATTATATGTATAAAAAATGTATAAATTAAGAAAAATCTTGATCATTTTACCTAATTTTTATACTTGTTATGTGCAATAAATAAAATAGTGATCTTGCTCATGAGACGGGTGCTGGTATTATAAAGGTAAAATGTGTAGATGGTAATACTTGAAAGCAATGGTGTATTGAAGGGATAGTTCACTCAGCAATTACAATTTTCTTAAATAATTCCTCAAATCAAGTGTTAATAAACGTTCATGTGTTTTGTTCTTCTGTTGAACTCAAAAGAAGATATTTTGAAGAATGTCGGGGAAAAAGAGAAGCCATTGACATCTATAGTAGTTACAAAAAAATACTATGAAAGTCAATAGCTGTTTTTTTACCCCAACATTCTTCAAAATATCTTATTTTATGTTCAACGGAAGAAAGAAACTTAGACAGTTTTGGAACAAGTGGAGGATGAGTAAATATTTGTGTGAACTGTCTCTTTAAAATTGTATATATTGAAATACGATAGTTTACTGCTAATGTGTAAACCTTTTTTTCTATTTAGCACATTATTTTGTAACAAAAAAATTATTTTCTAATCATAAATTTGACATTTGTTCTTGTTTACTGCATGTTGATTAATTACTATACCTTGTGTTACCTTGTGTTTACAGAAACAGGAAGTTACACGTGCGAGTATTGTGGAAAGCAGTACAAATACTTCAACCCGTATCAGGAGCACGTGGCTCTTCACGCTCCGCTGAGTAAGTTCATCACTCGAGATGTGTGTTGTTTCTCTGCAAACAGATGAATAGAGCAATGTTACACACTAAACACTCTGTACAGCCGTGTTTCCCATACCTGTTCCTAGAGACACACCACCCGTGCATATTTTGGATGTCTCCCTTATCTGACTCCATTAACTTCAGGTTTGGCGTCTCTTGTTATGTTCTGATGAGTTGATTCAGGTGTGTTTGATTAGGTAGATGGTGAAAATGTGTGCCTTCAGGAACAGGGTTGGGAAACACTGCTCTACACTGCTCAATTGCTAAAACATTACATTGCACAGCCCTATTTCACATGCAGAATATAGAAGCTTAAGAAAACTACTAGTAAACTTGATTTCCCCAGATCATTATTTGTGTTGTAAAACTAGCCAATCTGTCTGCAATAAAGCGTGTCAGGTTGTTATTGCAGTCTGCTGAGGTGTTGGGCGTAAAAAAAAAGGAAAGGAAAAAAAAAAAGTCTCTCCTATTATCTTCGTCCTTCGTCTCTCCTCTCATTTATCTCTTAGTCCTGCGTTGAGGATATGCAGAGGAGTTTGACATTGAATGCTATTTAAAGTATGGTGAAAATATAGAAATGGGTCAGAGAGACTGTGGCGATGCGAGCAGAATTAAATTTCAATTTGCTTCAAAATGACTGATTATTCTAAATGAAGAGTTTGCGAGATTTGTGGCTTCGCTGGGAGATGTGGATGTGACTGCTAGTGAATCGTGTTTTATTATTATTATTATTATTATTATTATTACTATTATTACTATAATAATATTAATTATTATAACCATAATAATAATAATAATAATAATAACAACAACAATAATAATAATAATAATAATAATAATAATAATAATAATAATAACAACAACAACAACAACAACAACAACAACAACAACAACAACAACAACAACAACAACAACAACAACAACAACAACAATAATAATAATAATAATAATAATAATAATTATTATTATTATTATTATTATTAATATTGTGGATGAGGGATGTTTTTGATGTTGACATATTGAAATATTAATCTTCTGTGTATTAGACATATTTCAGATGTGGACTAATAATCTTTAATATTGGTGTAGTCATAGTGTAGTGTATCATTGGTGTAGATATATCTATCTGTCTATCTATCTATCCACCTGTCCGTCTGTCCGTCCATCCATCCCAGTCCATCAACCCTTCATCCCAATCCATTCATTCATCCATCCACCCATCCATCCATCACAAACCATCCCAATCCATCCATTCCAATCCATCCCAATCTATCCCATCCATTCCATCCATTCCATCCATACATTCCAATCTATCCCATTCCATTCCAATCTATTCATTTCCTCCCAAACCATTTACCCCATCCCTATCGATCCCATTCCATCCCAATCCATCCATCCATCCATCCCAATCCATCCATTCCATCCCATTTATCCCAATCCATCCATTCCTTCCCAATCCATCCATCCCACCCCAATTCATTCCTCCCTTCCAGTCCATTTTATCCCAATCCATTCATTCCATCACCATTTTATCCCAATCCATCCTAATCCACCGATCCCATTCATTCCATCCCATTCTCTTCCATTCCATCCATTTCCTCCCAATCCGTCCATCCCATTTCTTCCCAAGCCATCCCATTCCATCACAATCCATCCCATTCCATCCATTCCCTCCCAATCCATCCACGCCATCCCAATTCATCCACCCCATCCCTATCCATCCCATCCTTCCATCCCAATCCATCCATCCCATCCCAATCCATTCATTCCATCCTATTTTATCCCAATCCATCTATTTCCTCCCAATCCACCCATCCCACCCCACCCCAATCCATCCATCCATCTATCAATCCCTTCCAATCCATCCTATCCCAATCCATTCATTTTAACTCATTTCATCCCATTCCATCCTAATCCATCTATCCCATTCATTCCATCCCATTCCATTCATTCCCTCCCAATCCATCCCATTTCATCCCAATCCATCCATCCCATCCAATTTCTTCCCAATTCATCATCCATCAATCCACCCCATCCCAATCCATCCATCCCATTTCTTTTCAATCCATCCATCCATCCAATTCCATCCTCCCATCCCTATCCATCCTTTCCATTCGATTCCATCCCAATCCATCCACCCCATCCCAATCCATCCATTCCATCCCAAGCCATCAAATCCCATTCCATTCCATCCCAATCCATCCACCTCATCCCAATCCATCCACCCCATCCATGCAGAAACAGTTCAGAAAGCACATGACTTGAGGATTAATTACAAAGTACAGTATAATGATTGTGAAGGTCTTCCATTTGCCTGCTGTTTTAAGTCTGTTAACTGTGTAAACATATACACAGCATATAAATCATTGATAAAATGATTTAGGTAAAACCTAAATTTATAATTTTTTACGAATATTTAACTCTTTCCCCCGCCCCATTATCATTTTTTGAGTGGAGTTGCCAGCTACTGCCAGCATTTGATAATGTTGTACCTAAATTTGATGACCCTCAAAATGTTTTCTGCGTTGAATATGTTATCATATTATCTATAAAAATAAAAAAGAGCCTCTACTTTTTAAACAAACAAACAAACAAACAAACAAAAAAAGACAATTCATTCTATGTTCATGTTTTATTACCACTTGAATGCTGATTAACAGAGATAATTGTTTTTTTTTAAAGCAGCGTTGACAGTTTTATTTATTTATTTGTTTGTTTGTTTGTTTGTTTGTTTGTTTGTGTTGACCATTGACAAATAATATTTTAAACCTAAAAAAAACTACGATTACAAATCAATAAAGCTTGAGAATGGGCAATCTGAAAGGAAATTGGGAAATCTAAAACACTTTTACAGTTCCAAGCTTGCAAACTTTGGGAAAATAATATTTTTGGCACGTTCTGTGGAACGCAAGGGGAAATATGGAAATGAGATGCATTTCTTGTCTCAACATTCGCAATGTTTTTCAGACATTTTTCTTTAAAAGAGAAAAAAAAGTATCAGCTGCATGCAAAGTGACCCACATTTGGAAATGTGTGGAAGTGATCAGTTTGCTCATGGAGTCACAGTGAGATCCCAGAATCTCTGTCAACGGTCCAAGAATACCTAAAGAAAACAAGTAGAAGATAATATAAGATTTATAAGATATATGACATATCTTGAGGTACAGACTTACACAAACTACTTTTTCCCATTTGTAAACTGTCATTGTTGGTATGCAATATGACACAGATAATTAAACGTCAAAAGGTTTTGCTAAATCCCTGTCAGTTTGGCTCCGAATATCATGTGAGAAATATGATTATAATTTTGGCAGATAACAAAATAGCATATACAGTAAAGTGCATTGTACTGTATGTTGTAGTAATTACAACACTTTGATCATGACTGCTGTAGTATACTTTAGTTTGCAGTAAACTGTGGCGTATTGTTGTATAATATACGCTATAGTTGTAGAAGACTTTTGTTTGTCACATTTCTGAGGTAGAACACTAAAGTGATTCCCTTTTTTGGTCCTCTTACATGCTCTTTTAGTTTATTTCTAAGCTTAAAACTTTAGTTAATTTGTTACTTCCATTCCTAACCTTAGACAAGAAGTGAAGGAACATAACGACAGTGTTGGGCCATTTGTTTATATTGCCATACTTGTGCTATAGTTATTACCGAATCACCACAGCAGATTAATTCATTTCTTTAATTCCGTCAAATAAAGGACTTTACTATAGTAGAGTTCAAAAATACTATAGCATATACTGTAAATTGCTCTGCTATTTTTTTATGTTGGTAGAGACCTTTAGAGAAACAATTATGAAAGTCAGTAGACGGGTGAAAAGATTTTTAGAAGCTCTCCATAAATCAAGCATTGGTATGACCTCTCTAATTAAATCTTTTGATTTCTTTTACGTTTTGCTTGCCAAAAAAAGAGTTCTTGATCAAATCACAATTCCCATAAATCATCAAACAAATGAAATCGCTTTGTTCCTAATTCATGGAAACTGCCTGATCTATGAGTGATGCTTTATGGATGAAACCGGCAAATACAGTTGAAGTCAGAATTATCCGCCCTCCTGTATATTCTGCCCCTGCTTTACATTTACATTTAGTCATTTAGCAGACGCTTTATCCAAAGCGACTTACAAATGAGGACAAGGAAGCAATTTACACAACTACAAGAGCAACAATGAATAAGTGCTGTAGGCAAGTTTCAGGTATGTAAAGTGTAAGAAGTAAAACATTAGTAATTTATTTATTTATTTATTTATTTATTTTTGAGTACAGTTAAAGTGGAGCCAGAGAGGCAATTGCAGACTAGGAAGGAAAGTGGAGACTAAATAGTTGAGTTTTTAATCGTTTCTTGAAGACAGCGAGTGACTCTGCCGTTCTGATGCAGTTAGGGAGTTCATTCCACCAACTGGGCAGATTGAATGCGAGAGTTCGGGATAGTGATTTCTTCCCTCTTTGGGATGGAACCACGAGGCGACGTTCATTCACAGAACGCAAGTTTCTGCAGGGCACATACATCTGCAGAAGTGAGAGCAGATAAGAAGGAGCACAGCCAGAAGTCGCTTTGTAAGCAAACATCAGAGCTTTGAATTTGATGAGAGCAGCAACTGGCAGCCAGTGCAAACGGATGAGCAGCGGAGTGACACGTGCTCTTTTAGGTTCATTAAAGACCACTCATGCTGCTGCTTTCTGAAGCAGCTGAAGAGGTTTGATAGAGTTAGCTGGAAGCCCGGCTAGTAGAGAGTTGCAATAGACCAGTCTGGAGAGAACAAGAGCTTGAACAGGGAGTTGAGCTGCATGTTCAGATAGGATGACTTTTTCAGATGCAAAAAAATCAGAAAATATTTTATTTTAATGCATTCGTTCGTTCGTGTATTAATTCATTTGTGTGTCCGTTCATTTGTATATTCATTCGTTCATGCGTTTGTTTATTTGTGCATTTGTTCATTTGTGTATTTATTCGTTCATTTATTCATGCATTCATTCATTCCCCTGTGCGTTCATTCAATTGTGCATTTGCATGTGCATTTATTCGTTCATTTGCTTAAGCAACTCATTTGTGCGTTCATTCATGCTTTCATGTTTGTTTGTGCATTCGTTCGATTATTCATGCATTCGTTTGATCGTTCAAGAATTACGTCATTTATGCGTTTGTGCATTCGTTCATTTGTGAATTTGTAAAGTGTAGGAAGTAAAACATTAGTACTTTTAATTTATTTATTATTATTATTATTATTTTGTAATACAGTTAGCGGTGGAGCCAGAGAGGCAATTGCAGATTAGCCAGAAGTCGCTTTGTAAGCAAACATCAGAGCTTTGAATTTGATGCGATCAGCAACTGGCAGCCAGTGCAAACGGATGAGCAGCGGAGTGACATGTGCTCTTTTAGGTTCATTAAAGACCACTCGTGCTGCTGCGTTCTGAAGCAGCTGAAGAGGTTTGATAAAGTTAGCTGGAAGCCCGGCTAGTAGAGAGTTGCAATAGTCCAGTCTGGAGAGAACAAGAGCTTGAACAGGGAGTTGAGCTGCATGTTTAGATAGGATGACTTTTTCAGATGCAAAAAAATCTGAAAATATTTTATTTTAATGCATTCGTTCGTTCGTGTATTAATTCATTTGTGTGTCCGTTCATTTGTATATTCATTCGTTCATGCGTTTGTTTATTTGTGCATTCGTTCATTTGTGTATTTATTCGTTCATTTATTCATGCATTCATTCATTCCCCTGT